ATATGACCTTAAAATTCACGGTATTAGGATTTGAAACGGGATATTCACCAGCCATTCCCACAACTGCAGGATTATATTTTATTTTCGCCTTCGAATGGTGACAATCTTGGTTGAATATACTCTTGTTCAACTCTGGTTTGAGACGCGGTCCTGCGTCCTGTGTGCACTGCAGGCGCTTAAATACCAGAGAGTTGGCCTGGCCTCCTTAAATGGTTCCCCTAGGTGTCTAGAAGCAGCAATGGTGCTGCTGATGTAAAGCTTTCTTAAAGTGGACTTTTCTTTCTTTTCACTGTGCATTTTGCCGTTTCAAGCCGGTATCATTATTTTAATGTGTTTATTTCATTTTGCCCAGAAATGGTGACAAATTTTGTTGCTGGTGAAACACCCCTTGTTCAGCCTGACGTCCTATGCTCTGCAGGCGCTTAAATGCCAGAGAGTTATGGACTATATAAATGATCCCCCTGGGACACTAGAAGCAAAGACGTGGTGAATTTTGGCCTTATAAATCTTACCGTGGAATTTGAACTGCAACATTTTTCGTCGGAATTGGACAGCTGTGTTTTTGTGTGAGTGCCTGTAAAACCATATAGAGGTTCGTGTCAATGATCTCTGGTTTCTTACGAGCATCTTTGCTTCCCGACTAGCCCATATTCGGTTGTACGAACTCAATGCACAACGCTGAAGCTGAGGTTGAAGCCATTAGTGTTTATCCATGAATCTTGAGTTACGACGGATCTGCTCCCCTGGTGCGACGACCTTAAGCTAACCATCGATCAGCGGTGAATCGTGTCAAAAAGTTTACGCTTGAAGCAGACGTTTCTTCAATGGCTTGTAAACGAAGACCAATAGGCCCACAGAGCTTTAGCAGCAGCGCTCGATCATGCCTTTCTAAAGAACTCAAGAAAAACTTATGATCAACAGCTACTTCAAATGAAAATGCTCATTCCTAGCCCGCGGACAGTGTTGCGTTAAGCTTCGACTTTTCGATGCCAGTGTCATCAATCCTGAACCCACTGATGAAGCGACGAAAATGCCTTTCGAAGAATTACTACCCCACAGCGAAGGCGTTGCCATTTTCATTGCATCAAAGTTTCTCCCAGGCGGTGCGGCATTCATAACACAAGGAGCTTTATTATTAATCGTACGAATCAATAATCAGTGATAACCATGCAAGACGTTTTGGTGGCATTAATTCTTAATCCAAAATGATGAACATAGATGTCGCGGACGATTAAACAAAATCCGATGTTACGTTACAAAGGTTCAAAGAATACAGTTAAAAATATTCTCTATGATCATGGACAAGAATATGAAAAAACCTGGATTTCGATAAACCATTTTTCCATTGCTTTAAAGTGTCTGAGTTTGTAAGTAACACCAAACGCACTGGGAGGATGGTCTGCATGCATGGAGAGCAACCATATATTTCAAACATCATTAATCTGGCAGTTCAATCTTTGAGCCTGATACCTGAGATGAAGATGACATTGGATAACATGTATTTAAGCAGATTCACTTTAATGTATAGTTTTTTATGTTGCAACCTGCCTGCACTTCTGTCGTAATATGCAAGTTTCAGTTTGACAAACTTCTTGGTTCGCTGATCGCCAGTTTTCGTGCCACTCGCCAGGACACCACCGACTGCTTGGACACCCTCTATAAGTGCGTCCCCGGTAAATATGGCTTGGTGGCCGAGAACTTCACCGAGTACCAGAAGAAGCGCAGAAACTCGGCCACGTTCCGCTCGCTGTCCGATCCTTTCAATATTCGGCGTTTCAACTTTCTGAAGATCAGCCATAGTGACGTATACGCGCGATTGGCGCGAACTGATTGACTTTGCTCGTTGTGTTGTAGATCCTCATGCGGTTGACGAACGAAAGCAGCGAAAGCGACTCCGTCTCACGCAGCCTCATCATCAAGTCCGGCAACACCAAGCGCCTTCAGGCCGTCCTCGTGCCTCACGTCGACAAGTGTTGGCCTCAGGCACTGAACGAGAAAGCCCTGAATCTGGCCGTCGAGACGCTGCTGCTCAGCAGTTCCAGGTAGACATTTTTCTTCGTAAGCTTTCACCCGGGCTGTTTTACCTCAAAACGAGCTGGTAACCTTCCTTGCTCTGATCGATCTGTTTTGGGTGCCAACCGATTGTCATCAACCTCTGGAAAAAGGCTAATGACGACGTAGCTTTAATTGCATTTTAGAGCTAAAATATTTTCGAATCCAATCGCGGCATAAAATTTTTCTTATTCACTGCCAATTCCCATGAGGCCATGAGCACAGAATTTGCCTTCAGTCCTTCGTGTAACCAGCCGAGAAATGGTTGGCAAGTCCACTGATCTGTGAACGGTAGTGACAACGTGGAATTCTGGTGTGAGACGAATGACCATGTTGTCTGACACGTACGCCGTATGGCTGCAGTTCGTCTTCACCTACGTTATGAACAAAATTCAGCAGAAGATGTGAATTGTACAGCTAACAATTTTATTGCCCCCAAATTTATAAGGATAGAAAAGTTTAATGAAAAGATTGCACCTCTGTACGCCATCCCTGCGGTCTTTTCCGAAACAGGAAAGTGAATAACCGGAATTCAAGTCATTGTTCGGTTGAATAGAGCTTCGATCAAGCAGGCGGTTTTTTCATGACTGTTGCACACCTGTGACCGAACAACGATGCATTGACATTTCCAAAATGAAAGTTCTTCAGAAAAAATAATATTGCATGACTGCAAACAGTAATTGCGTGAAAAAAGTTGACAAGGAATGTCAAATGTCAAGCAAACATGATTGTATCAGGAACTGTATCAAATGAAATGTAACTGGCGTCATTATAATTGCATAGAATTTAAAAGAGCTTTAGAAAATAGGGCATCATGCTATCTGGATCGATGACTACTGGCAAGTTTTGGTTCAGAAGTGAAACATGTCTGAGAAGTCATTACACTTGGTTACGTCGCTAGGTAACCTTGTCTTTTGCATCTAGAAGCCTAGGAGCCATTTAAGCGTGCCAAACCTCCTGGTATCTGAGCAATTTGGATGCATGGATACACAGTGGCATTGGAGTGTTGCCTAGATAAACAAATATTTTGATCATGTATCTACCCTGCATACCGATTACATTTGTTAGATTGGATTTGATTCGAATACCAGCCGAACACTTTAGGCTGTGATTGTGTGAAAACCATTAAACTAAACGATCTTATATGAATATCGATTTCATGGCGTACACGACTAAAAAGTTTGTTGCTTTCAGTTCTCTCGTTAGCATCATGGATAGTAAAATGGAGTTATTTACTTATGGAATCAAGATATATATCAAATTGGCATCAGTCATCATGAAGACCCTGGTACCGAAACTGCTAGAGTGTTAACCATCTAGTTGACTGTTTCCTTTACTAAGAACCGTTAGTCTGCAGTTGTCACAGACACTAAAACAACTGGCAGCTCATTCAGTTTCTAGTAAGGTTACAAAGAGTAACGAGCAGTCACAGTTACTCTCCAGAGGTTCATAATGTGACTGTTGTACTATGCAGCAGGCAGGAGGAGGCGTGACATATTAATGTTCTCTTCAGCGAAACCAGACTGCCGCACAGTAGACCTATATTCCATATATGCTTAATTTTTGTTGAATAAATCGTCCATAAAAATCCATGCGCCGTTGCCTATATATCTCTGAATTTCCGGAACGTTACCTCAACTAAGAGCTGCTGAGATCTGTGAAGTCTCTGCCGGCGCAAAATAGATGTGCTAGAAAGGCTCTCAACGATTCTTCTTATCGCCTGCGTAGCGCAATAGCACAGTGCGGCTTAAACTTCGATCGTGAATGCCCTTGAGCGAGTAATTTACCTCACGTTACTTCAGGCAGAGATTGCTCAATCAGTAGAACGTCGGACTCAGAACCTAGAGGTCCCAGGTTCGACGCCCCGTCAGGTCACTTGTCTTTACTCCTTCTGAAGTTGATAAATGAGTACAAAAGACTACACTCTATGCTTGCTTCTCCTGGCTGATGCCATAAAAATGGACAGCAGGCCCCACCATTAATTTAACTTAATGAAATTAAGGGTGCGAGAAATCGCCTCATGATGAAAGTGTAAAAAAGACGGACATTCCAACGCTTAGAAGCTTTCCTTTCGTAGCGTGTGCACGATTCCTTGGCCTTCTGTTGTCAGGAACATACCTGACAATCTAAACGTTCTGTTGCATGTACGCAAAGATACACATCTTCAGACGATCAGTGGTGTTTCGCCTGATCTGGATATTGAAACTCGAGCAGCATGAATTCGACGAAGAACTGGGACCAAATTCAGTTTGAGTTAGCTGTTCAAACGCATGCAGACTTCATGTTGATTACTGTAATGTACTTCGTTTTACGCACGACTTTGAACGGCTGGGAAACAGATAGGCTGCTATGGCGGTAAACATGACTTGACTTACTGTTGCAATTATTGAACAGTTTATTCCTGCTTCGTCTTTCTTACCGGCAGGAACAACAGCTGTCGAAGAATTGGACGCTTATTATTAAGTTTCATGCTCACAGTGTTATGGTTATTAGTTTCTAAATGCTTAAATTATATAATGCAACTGTGTTATAGACAGTTTTTCGTTACCTTCAATTCGCCCTTGGCCTACTGTTCGGTGAACCACTTACATTTTGGCCTGTGCTATATTCCTTACGTCAGCAAGTTAATCTCTTCGGTTTGTTTCTCATCCGGCGATCGTCATATTTGTCAGCTTACCATGTCGTCGTTTTAGCCTCTTCGGCATGCCTTCGCAGACGTCTTCGTCTTGGAAAACTGGATTCTACCAGGATTTGTGGTTCAACTCCGAAACAGAGACCTGACTTCACTTGTAAAGTACTGCGTAAGGTTCCAAAATATAAAAACTGCATACGCTTTAGAAACTTGCTGAAAATAACCAGATACCTCACGACATCAGAGACGCCTCATAACCTTGTGCTATGCCGTGCTCCGCCGTTGCCCGATCACACTGGCGGTGACAACACTCCCAGCGCCACCGGCGTCTTGTCGGTGACGGCGTACGTGTTTCCAAGGAACCCGGTATCGCCTCGGTCGCCGTTAACCAAAATTCGTACTGCAGCGATGGATATATGTGGCCTTATAGCGGTTTACTGTAAGTCTACGTGGCATGTTCTTCATATTTGTTCGTTATTACCTTAAATTCTTGAATTACTCGGATAATGACACTGTGCGGCGTCGAAGCTCTTCGCTAAGTAAACAAGTTTACCTTCTCCATTTTAATTGTTGCCTTAGGCCATTGACGAAGAAGTGAAGAGCATGTACACGTCTGTTTTGCTTCTTATCCCACTGCATCGAAGACCATGTATTCTACTTGTACCGAATAAACACTTCACTCTTCAGTTCTTTCGATGTCACGTCAGTTCTAACGAGATAATTCCGTATTGTTTGACGTCTTCCTTACGGCCGCTTGCCATCGGGCTTTGCTTTCAATACCGACTTTGCAAGGCGGCCATTGTTCATTCGTTTGTAATTGGCCAGCCATCTTAAAAGCCTTGTTTGTAGGTGGTAGGTCACTTTAACTGAATATTCTAATCTTTCTCCCGCAACAGCGTTTGACACCAGATCATATCTCTTCACTTCTAATAATGGTCCTAACGTCTTCATCTCTGTCGCTTCTAGGTAGGTGTTGTCATTTACATTCTAGTTTACTGAACTGTACCGTTTTCTGTTAGTGTTTTCTTCTAAACCTCAGATGGTATACAGCATGGTGCATTACCAATGGTCATGATGCGATACTTTCAAATAATGTTTTCGCAGTTTTGTAAAATTAGTGTCATTGCCCTTGTTTATCTCAGATCCAGTTGTAAATATTTTCCTTTCGTCTATGCGAAACTTGGACTTGCTAAAACCGGATATACGAAGACTCCATGTTTTGTACAACAACAGATTGGGGTGGCTACTGCTATGGTTTACACACACACACACACACACACACACACACACACACACACACACACACACACACACACACACACAC